CCTTTTCTTTTCCATGTAGGAACTTCCATGTATTTGAACATTGGGACAGATATTTTTTTTTAGATTATCTTTTAATTTGTTGGTTTCCCTAAATGTATACTGTGATCGTATGTAAAGTAAAATGGAATGAATCCTTAATAATTTCTTACTAATCCTGGATTCAATCATTAGAATGGAATCTGAGATACTTCTCTCTCTCAAAAATGTAGACAGGGTGAAAAATGTGGTGAATTTGCATAACATTTTGAAGTACCTTCAGTGTGCCAGACACTTGTGTGGGTAGAAGGAAGAGTAAAAAGTAGGTGTAAAGGCCGGACTGGGCACAGTGCAGGTTTTCTGATCCCATGCAGACCGGGTAAAGGAGGAGTCAGAGTCCTCAGTAGTTTTGCAGGCTTTTTATTGGGGTTCAGTGGGTACGTGCAAGGCAGGGGTGCTGGCTGGGAGGCCTCCCAGCCCCCAGCAAGTCTTCACTCTATCTGGGCTCTCTGGCATTCTCTGCTTCTGCTTCAGGCTTCTTCTCTTCCGGCTTCTACTGCTGCTCCTGGCGTCCCCGTGACGCCGCCCTTAAAAGCACAGTCTTAGCTTAGCTGAATCCCATCTACCTATGCCCACACCCTATTCCAGGTGCCCGCCATCAGGCATGCATTCAGGACAAGGATCCATCATCTATCCTGATGGTGGAAGGGCAGAAAAGCCTGATATTTTCTTTACCCTACAGTCCACCCCCTCAGGGTTTTCTGCCATACAGTCTATACATATATATACAGTTTTCTAAGCAAACAAACAATGCAGCCATGGCCCACAAAAGCAAATGCATCAAATATAACAAAATACAATATAACAAAATACAACAGAACACAAATAAGTCCAGGCAGGGCACCAACCTAGCGCAAAAGACAATTATTGGTACCAGCAGATAAGCCACCAAATCTGCTGCCGAAGGCACTGCTCATACGAGGGAGGGGAATCACTCACGGCATCTACTATATCACACCAGGAGCCGTCAGGCTTCCTGGCCTTCTCTGGCTGTAGTCTCAGCTACAAGGCACACACAGCATCCACCCCCAGGATGCACTAGCTCTGGGATTGGCAATTTTATTCTGTTGGGGGTAATCGCCAACCCTCAGGGTTTCTGTCTGCAGTCGCTCCAACACTCGGCCTTCACAGCCACCAGTGCGACTCACAGACCCCTGCACTCAGGCCAACCCACTGCACAATCACATGGGTCGGGGATCCAAACTCTGCATGTGGCTTGGGCTCCACCCCAAGCCACATTCCCCACCCGTCCCCCAAGGACAGGTTCCTCAGCTCCTCACCCTCACTCAAGAATGAGCAGGGCATCACCCACAGGTGATTTTACGAGACTCAGTTCTTCAGCATACCCAGGCTGCTTAACAGCCACTTAGGGCTTCTCCACTTAGCATCAGTACCAGCTTTTGCCTTCTTAGTTGGCTTTTCTCCTCCACCTGGCTGCTGGGCATGCACAGGCTGCTTTTGGCCATCTAGGCCCACTGGCCACCCCCAGATCCTAAAAAAAAAAAAAAAAACATAACCTGCCAAGGTCCTCCGCCTTCTGGCGGGATTGTCAGTCCAAGTTTATCAGTCCATGTCCATTGACCTCTCCCTGCGTCAGCAGCGGCCTGCTGCCTCAGGGGTCATTGGCTGGTCCTTTCCGGTGTCGTGGCCTGGTCCTCTCGGGCATCTCCTCCATGCGAGATCTTGTCCCACAGCTCTGGACCGTATCCACCTTCTGTGCCGCCATGGCACCTCCAGCGTCATCACAGGCAAACAGTCTGTTCTCCTTAGTCCCTCTAGGTCTTTGGAGGGCTCCAATACCCGTCTGCATGGATCCTGCCGACTTACGCCAATTGTAATGTCAGGAACTGGACACGGTGCAGGTTTTCTGATCCTATGCAGACCAGGTAAAGGAGGAGTCAGAGTCCTCAGTAGTTTTGCAGGTTTTTTATTGGGGTTCAGTGGGTACGTGCAAGGCAGGGGTGCTGGCTGGGGGGGCGGGAGGCTGGCAGGCCTCCCAGCCCCCAGCAAGTCTTCACTCTATCTGGGCTCTCTGGCGTTCTCTGCTTCTGCTTCAGGCTTCTTCACTTCCGGCTTCTACTGCTGCTCCTGGCGTCCCCGTGACGCCGTCCTTAAAAAGCACAGTTTTAGCTCAGCTGAATCCCATCTACCTATGCCCACACCCTATTCCAGGTGCCCGCCATCAGACATGCATTCAGGACAAGGATCATCATCTATCCTGATGGCGGAAGGGCAGAAAAGCCTGATATTTTCTTTACAGTAGGGCACCCAGATTGTAATGTTTGTGAGTAGATTACTAATAGGCAATTAATATAAAAAAATGTTTATATAGTGATGATATTTATTTTTTTAAAGATTTTTTTATGCATACAAGAACCGGGATACAGGCTGGAGGTTTGGGGGAGGGATGAGAGAATTCACCAGAGACAGAGCGGGGGAACAGGATCGGCAGATTGACTGAAATACACTGCTAAGGGGAGCAGCAGGTGAGTCAGGAGAGGTCTGCTGAGCCATGTGGGTAGCTTCCTGCCTGGGGATCGAACTCGTGCTGTAGTGACTGTGGCGAGCTTCATAGGTTGCATCTTAACCACTTGTGCCACCAGGGAGGCCCATGTAGTGATGATATTTTGTCATGTCCAGAGGAACATAAAGGTGGGACACTTTGTTCTATCTTAAAGGATTGTGTTGGGGCAGAAAAAGTTACCTGAAGCAGTTGACATATTTTCTGTCTCTTGGAGGATGATTGGTGCTTAGAACATTTGGGATAACTGAATAGATGGTTTAACCTGTGGTTGCTTTTCTTCTGCAGTCATGAATTGGAAAACAAGGCAATTATATATGGCTTTATTATTTGCTGTGATAATATTATGAATTCTAGAACAGACACTTGACCTGTATTTCAAAGCAAAATATAAGTTTTGAATTGTTTTGTATTATCCTATAGTAAGAAAGTTGAGAATGAACTGTGATACTGTATTTCATATTGACATTTAGCATACATATTGCCAAAATGGTTTGATTTTTTAATTCTCAAATCATACCTCAAGTACTTAGCTTAGTAGAATTCATTTGGGTTTGAGAAAGTTTGATTGCTTTTATTATTTAAATGTAAGCATATTTTATAATTTCATTGATAGTAGGAAATTTTAATAGTAAGCACTCATTTTAAGCTCTTTAAGAAGTGGCAAGCCATGATATAGCTTCATAAGTATTTTTGGTGTAACCCTGTGTATTTTTTGTATACTCTTTCAGTTTTACAGTACTTTACCTTGTAAAAAGGTAAATGAACATAATTTTAACTACTTTAAAATATGGGAATACTATTAGATTAATAACTAGTTCTAGTATAGTGTGGTAGCTTTTGAAATTCCATTACCAGACAAGATAAATCTCTTCTAGCATACTTCTAATATTCTGCTCCTAAAATGAAATAGATACATATACATAAAAGAAAGAATTTGGGACTCCTTAAAGAAAGCAGGATAGAAATTTTATTTTAAATTACAAATTACAGAATATAACACTACAATAATTTACGTCTTAATTTTCTACAAAAAAAAAAGTATCTCCTGATTTTATTTCATAAAATTTGACTTTCAATTATGTTGCTGCTAAAAATATTCTCTGGAATATTGTCTGTTGATGATTAAAGGAAGAAATATTCTTTAAAATGACTACTTAAACCTACTGAACAATTGTTCTTATATCAGGCATTTCTTTGATTATTCTTCTTGCTTTATTTAATAGAAATTGTCTTTTCTATTGCTACTGTAACAAAATACCATGAAGATAGTGGTTTTAAGCAACATAAATATAAGATTCTATAGACTAGAGTCCATTATGACTGTCACCTAACTAAAATCAGTTCTCTAAAGAGACCCTTCACCTGTAATGGTTTACTTTCTGCTGCTGTGTGAATAACTATGACATTAGTATTAAGACTTAGGACCAGCTACTATATAAACTCACAAAAATATATAAAGGCTTTCTTTTTTCTCAAAACAGTACTCTAAAAGCACATTTTCTGATTGCAATATTTCTAGAATGTTTCTTTTACAATTTCCTCATAAGTATTATATATTATAGTAGAATTGTGACTCCTCTGAATTGTATTTTTAGATATTGATAAAGATAATAGTAAAATATAAATTAATGAATATGTATTAATTATAGAGGTTCCAAGGAAGAATCTGTTTACTACTTACTTGACTGACTTCATTTCCTTGAAGTTGTAGATCAAGGTCTTATATCCTCACTAACTGTAAACTGCCAGCTTCTAGAGGTATCACATTTCTTGGCATTTCATCTTATTTCTCCATCTTCAAAATTAACAATGGCTGGTCAAGTTGTTCTTATTTTGCATCTCCCTGACACAATTTTCTTCTGAAATCTGTTACTAAGGATTTTTTATGATTAGATTGGGACCATTCAGATGATCCTAAACCATCCGCCCATCTCAGGTCCTTAACCTTGATCATATCTGTCAAATCTGTTTTATCTTGTAACCTAAAATAGTCACAGGTTCCAGAAATTAGGCTCTAGATATCTTTGGGGAGCCATGTTTCTGCCTCTCACAAACAGTAATACTAACTGCTGAATTTGCTTGATTACTTTTCCTTTTTTGTTTAGAATACCTCTAATTTCCCCCTCCTCCCTTGACTCACTGAGTAGAAAAGATGGATTAAAATTCAGAGTAATCAGAAAAAATGCTTTTAGAGCATTGTTTTTGAGAAAAAAGAAAGCCTTTATATGTTTTTGGGAGTTTATAGTAGCTGGTCCTAAGTCTTAATGTCATAGTTATTCACACAGCAGCAGGAAGTAAACCATTATAGGCGAAGAGTCTCTTTAGTATCAACACATTCCAAGATAGAGAGATGTTCATCCAAAGCAATAATACAGTAATTAATGTGAACTTTGGTAATGGGTGACATTGCATCTTAATGTATTATTTCTTTCCTACCTAGATCATCACGAAGTACGTATATGAGCTCCTGGAAAAAGATTGTAATTTGAGAAAAATTTCCATCCCAGTAAGTCCAATTTTTAAAAATGTTTTACTTCCAAATAAGATAGTTTTCAATTTAAAAGAAAACTTTTGTTTTAACTAGTGGTAAGTTAAAGTGTTATGGTTCTATTTTTTGATATTGATAAAGGTCATATTAAATGCCTATTCAGTATATATTATCTCATTGTATCGATAGCTTTTAAAAATAATTTCTGTGTAAAGAAAATAACTACTTTCCAGTCTTTTGAAAATGTTGATTCTTAAAGGACTACCCTTTCCACTACCCTTTTTAATTTCATTACTATCATATATTTTTGCATTTTTATTTTAAATATACTTTTTGTTGCATCAGACATTCACCATCTCTTTTTTTCATGATTTTTTAAAATTGAATATTTTATTCCTATGTTTCCTCTACTTGTTTCAAAATTCATTCCTGGTGCTTCCTGTTTTAGAACACTGCTTCTCATTTTAGCAGAATAATTTGTATATGTGTGCAATATACATATCTGCATATATAATTATCATTACCATATATATATAGAGAGAGAGGGATTGAGGAAGAGTATTGAGGTATAACATTGAATTACAAACAATAAGTTTCAGGTGTTTATCTTTATACCTTGACAACTGTTTATCTACACCACACCCAAGCCAGGCCTAATTACCATTCACCAACTTCCTTGAGGGGATTATGCTAAATGAAATGTTAGAAACAGAAAGCCAAATACAGAATGATTTCTCTTACAGGTGGAAGATAAACAAAGCAAAGTTACAATCAAAACAAAATGAAAATAAATAGGTAGATTCTGATGAAAACAAAATGGCAAGTTACTAGACTGGAATAGCATAGGGGGTAGGTGGATCAGTTAGACAGGATTGATTGGAAGTGGTAGATGGTAATTGGACCTTTGAGAATTTCTTAATACCGCCTGTCTTCACAAATTAATTTCATAGTTATCTATTTAAAATAAATCTAGTTTATATTTAATTTTGTATAGGTAACTTCAAGTGCTAGGTCACATTGTTAGTCATTTGTATATTTTTTCATTCATTAAACAGATATTTATTTGAGGATGCCATGCGCTGTTCGAAATACTTCTGACATAGTAGCTAACAAAACCTTATCCTGTATAATAGCTGGGCCAGTTCTTGTTTACTTGTAAACTTTCTTTTTGAAGTACATCAAAATAAAGATTCTAGTATTTTTGGCAGGGAGGAGTGAATATATCAGGGTTTTTTTTTTTTTTTTTTTTATTCAAATCTCTTGTTATAGTTTTGATTTTAGGCCTACTGTCTTGCTCCGTATATTGAGTTTGCTGTTCTGGAAAGTTAAGGTAGAAATTTGTCACTTTGTCCAGTTTTTCTTTCTTTTTTTCCTTAAATTTAATGTAATTGGATAGTCCCATCAAATATAACCACTGTAGGGCATCTACCACCAAATCATCCATAGTCCACCACCACAATCCCTTGTGCTTCCTTCCTTCTTTGTCTTTACCCCTCCCGCCCTTGGTACTAAAGTTGCGTAATCAGCTCTCAATGGTTAGTTTTTAATCTTGTCTTTATCTGACTCTTAGTTTAGTTACTTTATATTCCAAATATTAGATATACCATCTGGTATTGATCTTTCTTCTTCTGACTTATTTCACTAAGCATTGTCCCTTTTCAGCTCCAAGAATTACCCAACTCCACAAGAAAAGGCAACATAAAAATAATGGGAACCAAAGAGAAAAAAGAAAAGAAAATATACTTAAAGGAAAAAAATGGAGGAAAACTTCCTGAACCTAGAGAATGGAATACATGTACAAATCCAGGAAGCTAAAAGAACCTTAGTGTACCTAAATAAGGTGATTCCAACACCAAAAAATACAGTAGTGAAACTTCTAAGAGTTCACGATAAAGAAAAAATACTGACGCTGGCAAAGAGGAAGAAGCAAATAGTCTGTAAAAGTACCCTAATCAGGCTAAATTCAGACTTCTCTGAAAACAGTTTCCCTTTATTATTAATTTTATTTCTTTCATAGTTTCTGAAAATGATATTAAAGAGCCTTGGGTTAAGTCTTTGTTACCGAACAGTTAATACTGAGTCCTTTAATTTTATAATACTTCGATTTCCCTCCTATCTTTGGACTTCAGTCTGCTAGATTTCTAGAACAAATCACAAGATAATTGGCCTTATACATTGTTATATAATTAAGTTTCATTAATTTTCTTTATGGACAACCGGAGATTAGGTTTAGAAGGACTTTATTTTCTTCTCATTTAATATTAGCTTATAAAGCCAATAAGCACAGAGAGCTTTATGTTATATGAAAATATTATAAGTGTCATGTTCATTTTTGGTTAGAAAAGATTCCCTAATTTTATAAACTGAACATATTTTTTTCAGTTTTAGAAAATTTATCTCAAATTATCGTAAATTTTATATAGCTATTAAAGTTTCCTTCTTTTACTGTTAGTTTTCTCCGAGTTTTCCTAAATTCCAAAGTTAGCAGTTGAGTGGGGTGGTTTTCACAGAATTGCTCTTTTGAAGACATTGCACTAAATTTAAAAAAATATTTTTTTTACAGTAATATTGGCATACAACACTGAATATGTTGATTCAAAGGTATAGGTATAGGTGCACACCTATTCAGATGTATGTAACCAAAACATACCACCACTAAGTCACACTTATTTGTCTGATGATAAACTAGTCTTTAGTTTTATACTTTCATAATTTAATAAGGAAGAAGAGCTTTTTTCTTCTTTTTTAAATTGACAGCATTTTGTGGAACGCTGTGACTTGTTAGAAATCATATTCATGTCTTGTGTTTACTCCCTCTCTTACATAACTTAGGTACAAAATATTTTTAATTGTTGTGTCTCGTACTTGTATAGAATATTGGATACATGAAATAACTTAATAATTTGACTACAAATTTTCATTCAGTTCATGGTGCCATGTTTAAATTAAACCTCACAATTAGTAGGCTTCACAAGTGTCCCAAAATGAACTGCTAAAAATTGTTTGTAGTTGATATGTCAGTAAAGTGAAATAATACACTAGAATTACTTTTGTATGTATTTAATGAAAGTGCAGCTTAATGAGTCACTGTTTAAAGATAAGGAACTTGGAATAGCTATTTCCAAACTTTAGTAAGAAAAGAAGAAAAATTTATTTTATAAGTATTTTCTCTTTAAAATTAGCACTAACTTTATGCAGACTAAATTACAGTTACCAACTGTAGTCAGAATTCTGTATTAAATTGGGATGAATATGAGCCAATAACTAGCTCAAATACTACTTCTACCACTTAATGATACCATTACATTACTTATTTTTATTGTTTTTCTTTGAATAGTCTGAAGTTTTTATATATTCAAGGTTAACTTTTCTGGATGTTCAAATAAAACTTTTATTCATATATTCAAGTATTTTAATTTGTAGACTTAAAAATTCTTAAATAGCATTTCAACATAAAAAACTTTTTCTCGCTAAAAATAAGCACTCACCCAGTTTTAAAGCGATTACTCTGAAATTCAAAGTATCATTGTTTCATTACTTTAAAAAACAACTCAGTTCCTTGGTAACAGGGGGCCTAGTGAAATAGAAAAAAGAACCTGTAATCAGCATTTACCAAAAAGTGTATATATACCTACAGGTCTTTTCAGTAATATAAATATATACCCTTTTCCATAGTCATGCCAGTGTCCATTAAGGCCTCACTGATTTTCAGAGGCACTTTTATTTGTACTCTTTGGTAAATAAATGACTGGAAACCTCTGTGGTCTCTTTCTATTATATACTGTCAGCTTTGCTTGGTAATTTTTTTTTTTTTATCATTTTCTTTTTTTAAGCCACTTTAATTACTTTCATATCATGATCCTCAGTAAAAGGGAATTTTTCTTCTCAGATTTAGTTTTACTGTTCCTCATCCACTTCTCATCCTTGGTGACTTCAGTCATACTCATTGATATCATCATAATTTGCTTACCCTAGGCACTGGGTACAAGTAAAGCTGATGTAATTTATTAAAAGTCATACCTATCCTCCTAACTACTTAACTCTTGATATAATTAAAATACAATTAATCTTATTTTAATTTTTTAGCACTGTATAGCTCTCTTAAAATTCTTTATAGTCCTACATCAGTTGCTCTTCAATATATGCTTTCTGAAGCAGGCAAATACTATAACCAGTTAGGATGACATATTGCTTAGTTAATCTAAAGGAGTTCATTGGTAATGCTTGACAAGGTTCCTTATTCCAGATGTTCATTTTCATTTAGAGAGCACCAGTCTCTCTTTTAGGAATTAGGAATGTAGCTGGATACAAACTAAAAGGTCTGCCTTTCTGGAGTATACCCTGTGAAAGGAGCAGATGGTTAATAAACAGATAAACAAACATAGAAATCAAGTATACACTATATTAGATTGTTGTATGTGCTATGGAGAAAAACAAAACAGGAAATGCACTAGGAAATTCTTGGGGGAGGTGTTTGCAATTGTAAATGAAGCTTCACATAAGGTGGTGTTTTTTTTAAAACTCCTGTAGTCTTGCTCTTCTTTCTAAAATATTTTTTCTTTGTGCTGTGCTTATACAAATAGCTAAGTATCTATAATGAATACCATTCTGTGGTTTGTTTTTATTTTAGTAGTGAAGTATTATTTTATTCTCTTCTTAGCAATAGTGAGTGAGAACATGTAAAATCCAGGGCATTATTTTGTATCTAGAGTTTTTTGTCTATTTCTTGTTTTGATAGTTGTGTGAATATATTCTGTCCATGAAATGAAGAGCTCTTGCATTAGCCAGTATATGGATTGACCCTCTCTACTTGAGCATGTATATATTACCAGCTTTCATGACTTCAACTTCTGATCTGGCTGTACAAAGGCTTCCATTGCTGGTTACTGATAATTATTGAATGGAAGAACACTCAGTGTCTGCTGTGACATATGTAATAAAAGGTTGTGAAGTTACCCCTTCCTAAATACCTTTATTAGTTTTTCTAATCTAAATCATGCTCAGTCTAGTTTAAACCCAAGTACAATCAAAATGAATAAAAATACTTTTTATCCCATAAATAACCATCATATAAAATATGATTATTGGAGAACACAAAGTTGTTTCATAAAATGATAGTTATACAATGCTGTATTCACGCTGTGAAATTAGAGTTCATTTATATAGAGCAGTAGGTGTTTGACTTTTTAAGTAGTTCTCTCTGCCCCCTTTTAAAAGTTTAATAGTGTTAGTGGTTAATATATAATTTTCTAAAAGGTGAATTCTGCCATTGTGTTTTTTTTTTTTTTTTTGTATTATAGGCTTCTGTTACAGAATTATAGACTTAATTGCAGTGTGACCTTAGGCAAGTTATTTAAACTCTCTAGGCTTCAATTTACAAATGAGTATAGCAATAGTACCACCTTGATGGGATTGTGATTGAAACAATGCTTTTAAAATGTTAGGATGGTATCTAGATGATAAGAGACACTAAATATACAATAATAATGTTAGGAGACATTTTCAGTTTTCATAATAACTATCATGTCTTTTTTGCTCATCCATCTAATTGTAATTATTAATCCCTAATGAATGCTTTAATCATATTTTAAAGTTTTTTTTGCTTTTACAATTCTATAGTAGCCATTCTATAAGTTTCTAGTGATCATTAATTGTTTTCTCATTTGTCTGTGCTTGGTAAGGAAACATTTGTTTATTATTTAATTTTTTTTAATTACAGGTAGATGCCACTGAAAGTGAACCAAAGAGTTTTATCTTTATGAGTGAGGATGCTTTGACAAATCCACAGAAACTGATGGTTTTAATTCATGGTAGTGGTGTTGTCAGGGCAGGTCAGTGGGCTAGAAGGCTTATTATAAACGAAGACCTGGACAGTGGCACACAGATACCTTTTATTAAGAGAGCTATGGATGTAAGTGAAATTTCCTTTATATTTTTGGCATTGCATAGCTGTTTTATTATGTGTTTAAATTATTTTATCATGTCTCTTCAAAAGTATGCCCTAAACATAATCTTTACATTGTTTTTATTTGTAATGAAGGATTATTCTACATTATTTTGCAGTTATTACAAAAACCAGAATGATGTCTTCAGTGTTCAAAAATTTAGATATATATTTAAAATGAATATTTTCAATTCTAAAATGTAATCAAAACTTATTAGTATTATTGAAAATACTTTTGAAAAAATTTAACAATGCTTTTATAAACCTTTTCTACCTGCATGAAATTAGAAACTAACAGAAATATGCTGCTTTAATTTCTTATTATTAATAGTAGAATTTTTTACTTATTTCTAGAAAACAGTTCAGAGTCCACAAAAAATGCTTTAAGCTTAATTAAGACATCACTATATAATATAATAAATTGTGATTTATACTGAATACTTTATTCTTATTTAAATTAAAACTTTGAAGAAATTGGTATTTTAAAATCATATTTCTGTAATAGTGAAATTGTTTTTCTTGACTAAGCATTGCTGTACCTTAATGATAGATTTCCTTTTTTTCTTTTCACTGTCTCATTTTTGTTTTTTTGAATTTGTTGTTGTTGTTGAGGTTCTGTTGGTATATAACACTTTACATGATTTAGGGGTACAGGTTCACATCTCTTCAGATGTGTGTCACCTCACCACAACTACCCCAAAGCCCTCATAACCCTCTACCATCATCTATTGGTACCTTCTTTTTTTTATTCCCCACCACCACCATTTCCCTCAGGTAACCTCAGTTCTCTCTCATTCTTAACTCTGCAATGACTTAGACAAATTTTGAAAAGCATAGATTTATGTATAAGTAAAGATTTTTTTCAAAAAAAAGATAAAGTGACATCTTGTATAAAAGGTCTAATATATGAAGATAAAATTTTTCAGGAATATGTGCAGGTATGCTTTATGCTACATTATTACATTTTGTAATTAAAATTGGAAAGGTATTCTTTGATACCATGATGATTGCAAAGGTCAAGGATAATGTTTTCTACTCAGTTCTGAAATGGTGATATCAAGACCATTTCTAGCTTCTAAAGAATATTTTTAATAGATTTTGAGTTCCTTAAAATGTTACAAGTGGAATTTCCTAGGTTAATTGTACAATTTTTTCAGTCTTCTTATATATGCAGAGAACATAGATAATACTTTTGATTGGTTGCTAACTTCAATAGTATGTTTTTAGTTATTTGAAGTAGCTAACATAAGTTTAAGTTTTAGATTCAACTTACTATATACACAGAAAACACAGATAGTACTTTTGATTGGTTGCTAACTTCAACAATGTGTTTTTAGTAAATTGAAATAACTAAAATAAATTAGTTTAGATTCAAGTAACTAAAATAAATATTTAAACTGTCATATTTTAGCTTAAATAGTGAAACGAACTTTGTCTTTGACAGTGTATTATGTGATTAGAACATATCATGTAGATGTATTTTGAGAGGAACATTGTGTGCCAAATATGACCACAGGTCACTGAATATTTGAAAACATAATTTGGTTAAGAAAATCAGCTCTTGGTATATGTGAGTATCTGTTAAAATATTTTATGTTATTTATTGTCCCTGCTACTAGATCACAAAATATTACCTATTCGCAAATACTTTATTTTTGTATGTGGGTTTTTGAGATGAAAGCATATAGAGGAAGCTTTGAACAAACTGAACTGTTGAGCTCTCAAACAGGAGGTAATAAGTTTGTCAGTAACATTAAAATAGTCACTTTGTTCTTAAAAGTAGGAATAATGTTTTGAGGATACTACTATTTCATTGGCTAGACTTTTTCCTCCTTTTCTCAGTTACAGCAAAAAAAAAATATCCTTTTTATGAAAACAGCTGTTTCTAAGTTCTTTAGTTTTTAGTGTATTTGGTATTTAATAGGTATTGTACTTTGAAAATATTAGTTTATATACTTTATTCTCTAAAAACTGAAAACGACCTTTATTGTGCTAACTTTCTATATCATGGGCATTCAAAACTGGTTATCTTTTTAATCCAGATAGTGATTTTAATTACTTTTTAACACCTTTTCATAAGTGTTTCTGGTAGTTCAAGGGCTTTTATGTGTTTGTGTGGGGGATGGAAGAGGGGGTAACACAGGGGAAAGGATGGTATTTTAGGAAGCAGTCAGAGTAGCATTAATAGGAAGAGAGAGGCTGTCTCATCTTTACTTGTTTCAGTTTTTGGACTTCTAAAATTGAATGAAAGAGAGGTCTTCATAGTTTATGAAAGGTTGGGAGCTACTATGTTTTTCATGCTCTGTCAGTTCTCATATTACAACTAAAGTAAATTTTTACATTTTGAGGTCAGCCAATATTATCGCTACTGAGTATTGGTAATGTTTCTGCTTTTTTCCTTGCAGATTTTGTATATAAGATGAAATATCCTAAAATTGGATTTCTGTCATTATGAGATTAAGTAGAACCCTGTTTCTAGGTAGAGTGTTTTGCAAAAAATATTATGTTTAAATATCTGTACACCTATTTTGGTTGAAACTGGGGTGAAAACTGAAACTACCTTCACAACAGCATTTGAGATTTCTTACCTGAACCTAGGAGTTCCATAGATCACAGTTTGAAAATTACAGGTATTCCAATCCTTGCATTTTAAATATTTCACAACCTTATTGTAAAGAATGTATTAAGGTTTCATGTGGGAGAAATAGTACATAGCAGATAAATCCCCACAAGTGCTTTTGAGGTTGCCACAGCTAATATTTTTAGTGTTTAACAATCTTTATTGCATAATATATTACTTGGTGTAAGAAACAGTGTATCATATAGCCAAGTGCTAATTATTCAGTGTCTGGATGTGCAGTTTGAGTTATTCATTCTTGTTTTTTCTTTGATCTTTTCTCATATGCATCCTTTTAGGCGTATCATTTGGCCTCTATAAAAAGGACAAAGAAAGTAGGTGACACATTTAGTTACTAATTGTGGGTCTGGAACAAGAGTGCAGAATTTAGGGATTTGGTCCCACTCAGGTAATACATTATATGTAAGACCCTGAGAGTGAGTGCTTCCTTCAATTTTATGCCAGAAAGTTTTGTGCAAAGCAGTCTGGGAGCCACTGCTTTTGGTCTATGGAGTCACATTTCTACCATGTTTCAGAACTACGCAAAGGACTTTTCATTCACAGATGCCCCTGTGTCACCCCCAATTTTCATTCAAAATATTTGGTTGGGGTCTGATATTACATTTTAATTACCCAGGTGATTCTTGTGCTGCTAGTCTGGGTATCACATCATAACAACTAGTGTAGGTAATACTCCTTGGATGGGTTGCGTTTATTTATACTTTTCAGTCTTTATAGTGCCTAAGGTAGAACTTAATAGTAATTATATTTATTAAGACAATGAGTGAGATATTCTAGAAAATTATGAAGAAAACTTCAAAATATTATATATGTGATTCATACCCAGCCTAACTTAAATTTTATTAATGTTAATAATTTCTTGAGAATACCTCACCAAGCCTACACTTTTCCCAGTTTCTCAAAGTTGGATCATTCAGAAGACTGTTATTGAGTATAATTTTTATGCTGTTTTGTCCAAGTTTTAAATATTAAAACTTTTTATCAATTTAATTTATACACTTTGGATTATATAATATGGTGGACTAAGCTAATTTATATGCACCTTTCCCTCCTAAACACACATAAGAATAATGACTAAAACATAGCAATAACAAAAATATTAAATGCTCAGTTATGTTCTGAGATATAAAAGGAATCATTAAATGCCTGACTATAAAAAAGACCTTATTGTAAAAGGGATCGCTGGTTAAGATATATGCCTGAGGCCATACAGGGTCTGCATCATAGCTTTGAGTCTGAAGACTCTTGAATATAAGTAGGATCCTGGAAGTTTCTGCCCTCTTAGTTTTTAGGACTAAGGAATGTAAGCTCACTCACCTTCAGATGAAATGAGGGAGTTTCTATGCTGGAGGTGCCAGGTAGTATAAACAAACAGTCTTCCTTGGGAATTAAAAGTCATAGCCCAAAGATCAATTTAGATTTTCAGATTGAATTTAACAACCTACTTACTTATTGTAAGAATCTCAAGCAATGTAAATTCAAGTAAAAATGATTTCTGAACTGATGAAAGCCCGGAGCACCACGTAATAGCAAATATAAAAAAAAAACTGCCAATTGCAATACTTTACAATCTAGAATGAATTCAGTCAGAAATTAAAAATTATATGAGGAAATGATACATCACCAAAAAATGGATCAAGTCACACAACTATTAAACATAGTTAAAGAGAGAATTAGTGAACTAAAACTAAAGTTGAGAATGTAGCACAGATAAACCAAGAAAAAACTATTATAGAATAATTAAAAGTTATGGTGAATAGAATAAGACCTAATATTTCTCATAGATTTTTAGGAAAAAAATAGAAAAAAAGGGGCCTTCCTGGTGGTGCAGGGGATTAAAGAGAGTGCTGTCAAGCTGTTGCCAGCCACTGCAACATGAGTTCAGAGTTCAATCCCAGCTGGCCAGGGAGGTGAACCCACATGGCACAGCAGACCTCTCCTGTCTTGCCTGCTGCTCCCCTCAGCAGTGTTATTTCAGTAGATCTGTCTGTTCTGCTCCCCACTCTCGCTGGTGAATGCTCTTACCCCCTGCACCTCTGGCTTATAACCCAGTTCTTGTATGCATAAACAAATATATCTTTAAAAAAAAAACAATAGAAAGGGGAAAAGAAGCAGTGCATAAATAATCAAGTGTTTATGAATCATTGTTGAAGAAGCATGGCATATCTTGAGTAAAATAAGTGAAATAAAATAAATCTACACTCAAATACGTTGACATACAAACTTCTTACCTTTTCTGGAATTGTCAGTGTGTTGCCTTGCTTCTGTCACTGTTTCCTTTTGGAAGCATATAAGTTTGAATTTTCTATGTGATACCAGTTTCATCAGC